GAAGACAGACAAATGAGATGAAATATTTTCTGTGCTTAAACACAATATAATTTCAAGATTATCATCACATTAAAAAAATTAGAATTTGTTAGTAAAATTTAAAAAAGAGAAAAATAAATACCTTTCAATCAAGGACAAACAGGTATGTGAAATCAAACTGTGACAAAATGGATCTAAAGCCTATACACCAAAATAGATATGATTCACATTGACTTTGGCTTTTGACCAAAATAAATTATTACGTGTCGACAAAAACCTAGAGTGGAGTGTTAACCCTTTACCACATATATACGTGAAACAACGCACTTTCGACCCCCCTTTTTTTTAGGCCTGAAATAGTGAAAAAATGTCCTATTTGGGCCCCAAACACATGGTTTCGTTTGAGAAATGTTGCTAAAAAAAGTGAGCACTTTTTCGGCGCCGGCCCCCATCCAAAAGATACATCAGGGGGTTGCCAGAAGGGGGATGTGCCCACTTCTGTTTGGGGGGTTTGAAGGGGGCAGAGTCCCCCTCATTGCCAAGAAAATTTTGGACTTGTGAGAGGCTAAAAATGACCCCAGGTCGATCATAAGGTAACGTGTAACCAACGCTGAAAAGCCTTTGACTCTATCTCAATCCCTTGAGAAGTTGCAGCACTTTGAAATAAATTTTAATGGAAAAAATCGAGGCAAAATAGTGATTTTTGGCAATTTTGAGATGTCCCCTCGTTGCCATGGTAACGGGAAATTTAATACTGAGCATGTCGTTACAAAGGCAATGGTCCAGTCAACATTTGTGCCAAGTTTGATTAGTATTGAAGCATTTTTCATAGTTTCATAGCAGTTTGAACTTGTAACAGGAGGCTTTTTAGTGAAAACGGCCATTTTTCACAATATGCTCATGGGGGAAAGGGTTAAAGTTACATAATTTAAATTGTTTTGAAGTCGAGTTGAATTGGCTTTATTTTAACAAAGATTGCCATGACTATTATAATGGAGTAATTAATAATGAAAATGTTTAGGGAGACTGTCCCACTCTTTTTATAAATTGAAAGTCAACGATACTTTCCTAAGGACATTTATAGAATTATTTGAGAGTGACGTTGGTTATTAATTATAAACATGACCTAGACTATAAAATTGAAAACTGAAGTGATATTGACTTTTGACTTATACACCAACCTATTACACTTGTATGAGCCTACTGTTATTTTAAATTGTGATTTGTGCATATTTTAATGAACGTGGTAACTCTTGCAAAATAGTTTGCAACATAGTGTTGGCCGACCTTTAGGTTTTTTTTTAATGTTTTATTCATTGAAAATATAAAAACTTTTCCCTCTATAGAAACATATATGTAAAAATTTAAAAAAATGTTCTAAATAAATGTTTCACCCACCATTTCAGAAAGTCGTACACGTAAACACATATATCTAAGCAATTTGATTTGATTTTCGTTAGTTATGTAAATAATTATAAACAAAAAATATCGTTAAAAAGATACTTCTTAAGGTAACCGTGCTTTTACTTGCAAACAATAATAATTATTTCGAATATTTGTTTTCCATGAAGAAATGTTAGCAATGCCTGTTTAAAGATGTAATAATGAAAGTTAAGCAGGATAGTATGTAGGGTTAGTCCAACAAACTGTACCAATAGTAGATGTGTTATATTGTGTTTAGGCAATATATCTCCTCTCCGTCGTAAACGCAATATTCCGACGAACCCCACCCCACAATTTAGCATAGGGTTCTGAATTATACGAGTCAATCACTCTTCGACCAAAGTATTACTTTGCAAATGTGTTTCTTTTTCATGGATGCATGCATCTCCATGGTGATCTGCTTTTGTTAAAATTTTGGAAATAACGTTGCTAAGAATTATAATTATTAAAATTATTATTGTATTTTTAACCAATATTGACGTATCCAAAATAAGATTTATCCATAATCCTATACAACTCGACATTTAATCCATTAGCAAAGCCGGAGACGCACCCACGTATAAAACATAATTATGTATAATCACCGATAATTTTATTCGACCTCAAAATGTTCGCTTCATTTCAATTTACCCGCGTGTATATCATTTTTACTTTACCGCGCGGTAAAGTTATGTCTGCATGTTATTGAATAAGTCACATGAGTTAAAGATTGACAATGTTTGATTGTTTTGTTACAAACTGACCGATGGAAATGAATGGTATTATTACACTGAGATAGGTAGAGTTGCAGGCGTCATTTTCTAGCGTGCACCACAGCTAATTAACACATGCTTTAAAATTTTAAAATCATAAATTTGAAAAAATAATAAATAAACAGTGGTTAGTTAAAAGGTTGTTAGGTCATTCATTTAATATTATTTAATATTTTCGTTTGAAGTCCACACACGCCGCTGAGGAAGGCACTGAACTTGTTAAATTGTACACAGGTTTTATCAGAGTAACATTCTCTTTTTGTTTTCCGATGACGCGGATGATTATTATTGAAAGATCTTTTAATGGTACTAAAATACATTGTTTATTCATGAAAGAAAAGTCAGGTATTGATATTAAATATTTACAGGAGTCAGGCATTAAAATAAACACTAACGACGTTTTTTACAAGGACTAAGATATAAACAAAAAGTTGATCGTTTATCTAGCTAATATAATTGTCATGTAAATTGATTGCATATGTCCTTAACATTTTTATAGACGCCAGAAACACACACATTTTATGATGTAAGCCAGTAATTTGTAATTTAATTATTCAGTTTACGTGTTATTTTCCAGATGTTTCAAGTTCAATGACAACGATACGCAAGAAAATAAATTTGGAGTAAATCCATTATGCTAGATCTGATAGAGAATGCAATATTTCAAAACATATTTAGATTAGCTCTTAACTAGAACGCCTTACCATATTTATGACGTAATGCCTGGATTTTGAAACACTTTACATTAATCATAACATGAGTCAGGTTTTCTTTCCTTCACCCTACTAGAACTCATTTGTAAAATAAATATGGAACTGTCCTCATAATTGCCTAAATATGAATAATTTTAATTTATCCTTTCAACCTGTAACAAAAAAAACAAACAAACAAAGTCACTGGTTTTGAAAAATGACTCAGAATCAGTGTTAGCCTCGAACCATGCTATGAACGTTGGTTTCTGTAATCAGATTATGATTTCTGGCTAATTAAAGGAAGCTCGATGGGACCAATTGAATAAACACACAGAAGGATTTGAGAAATATATGTTCTTATCTATCTAAGTATATGCACTAACAAGAAGGGTCACGTACAGTGAACCTGGTCATCATGCTAGCTTACAGTGTCCATGTAACTTAAAATCCAACTAACCAATTGATAACTCAATAACAAGTTCGTCTTGAAATGGATATTTATTATACATACTGATAAAATAGAACATACCAAACTGTTTAAATGACAAAGAAGTGAAAACTATGTTTACACAGACAATATGTAGACAAATAAAGTATGCATACAGTCATGTAGTTTCTCATGTATAAATACACATTTTATTATATCATATAATTTGAGAATGATTTACAAAGCTTGTAATGCCTTATTTGTAGTCAGCATAAAAATAAAGCTCTCCTCGGCCTATTTTAGTTAAATTCATTCTAAGTTAAAACTACAACTGTTTAATAATGTTACAATATTTTCAAGGTTTTCTAAAAATAGATTGTTCTGCATGGTGAATATATGAAGGCTCTTACGTCCAAATCCATCTTTAAAGAGAATTTGTCTATAATTGAAGGTCTTTAATGCAATACATAATTATGTTGACAGTATAAAATATCAGAAATAACAACAAACGACAAAAGAATTATATATGGCAGATATTACCAGATAAAAAATTGGTCTAGAACAGAATATTCTTAATCATCATCTTTAAATGGATATACTGAATCACAACAAAGAAACACCAGCTGCAGCTGGAGTATTTGGTATAAACATAATATATTCCTATTATACGCATTCATATACATTACTAGTGTTGGGAATCGGAAGACAAACTCATAATCGATTAATCGGAACAATCGGACAGGCTCTCCGATCAATTAATCGAAATAATCGGACTGAATGTTTTCCAGCATAACTTACTAGAAAATAGAAATCATTATAACTTTTATTTAATATAAATTAATGTTTTATCTAATAATCTGTTTAACGTATTACAAAATACAAATTCTTCAGTCAGGACACAGTTTACATACATGTTATGATTTTCATATTCATATTCAGAAAAATCAATGTGTCCCTGTTGCCAGCATTTACTTATTTAGTCAAAAATAAAGTTTTTATTTAAGTGCCTATTTCACTATCGAACTTAAATAAATATGGTTAAACTAAGGAAATTTTGAGATTCAGGGTTCCAAATCCTGTGGAAACTATTCATGGCCATATAAATTATAATAAATTAATAACTGCTACCAATAATTGATTGTATCTATGTGATTAATTAATTGATTTAATATGCATGATCAGGATTAAAAATGTAAGTTACCATTTCACATAAATAAATAAATTATTTTATTTCAGAATCGACGTACCATAAACAGTGTCATGGTAAATATAAGTTTAGAAGCCTTTTAAATTTATCATTTAACATTATAAATGGACAGAGTGACGAAGATTGTTACAGTAAATTACAGTACCAGAATCCGATTTTAATTTAAACGGGTGGGGTACCTTTATTTGCATATCCTTTACCACAAAGCTTGCACACAATTTTAGCCATGTTCAAGTTATCACGGGTAGCGGATCCTTCAATATTCAGCAAGTTGAAACCAAAATGATTCCAGACATTTGATGATGTTTTCGTGAAGATTGAAGAGTATTCAAAATAAATAGCGCAAAGCTAAAAAAAACTACGAAAAATAACTACCACAAAGGAGTAAAAATTAACACTAAGCGACAATCGATTTTGTTCGACCATAATCGATGTCGGCGACATTATCAACATACCGATCTATAATCGGATAGCGGCGACAATCGGACCATCACTATACATTACACATTGATGCAGAAGTAACTGAACTGAGAGCAGTCCGAATATAAAAAAAATGTTTAAGAAAAAAGAACAAACTTTATATTACTTTGATAATGAAAGAATGTTCGATGATAAATTCATCATTTCAGTCACCATTGTTAACAAGGGCCGGTTGAACCGAGTGATGCTCCCTAAATAGGTTTTGGACACTGGAAGGTATACCTCTTGTAGTGTCAGAGTTATGTCACAGTGTAAAAACAAGGTAGTGACAAGATTTTGCTGCAAGGTCATGCTGTGACCTTGACCTTCAGGAAAGCAACCCAAATGTTGCGCGCGACACGTCGTCTCAATATGGTAATCATTTCTGTGAAAAAGTTGAAAAATCCGACTTTTAACAGAAATATTAGCTAATAATGAAGAATAATCATGAGTAAAAAAATTGTCTTCCCTTTTTATACCAACGATAATGATATAAAGTATGGTAATGGTTTAAGGGTGTAGATTTTAGGAAATGCGCGATAAAATAATTCACTTCGTCAAATAAAGCCAAATAAACCGAAACCACATAAAAGCGATGACCTATGTCGATGTCGATAATAAGAATCTTACACCTGCTGTGGATACCGGCTGGATAATCTAGCTCGATGGTAATTGTTTACAGCTGTAACGAGGCTCTACCGAGCTTCCGATAAACAGTTATATTTCATTCATACAAAATTAACTTACACATATATCAATTTCATAATACATCGCATATTTCTATGGCATTTCAGCAAACGCGTCATTAGAATATCGAATCATTTCAGAAATGTGATTGTTTCCGTCGTGGCAGGAAACTGCACTAGAGAAAATACATCTCCGTTTTGGTTAATTTTAAAACATTCAAGACTTAAACCGTTTAGGTTTTTAACAGCGACAGGCTTACCTGGAATAAATTGAATAATTTCACCGTTGCACATTTCAATCGGAGTTTGGAAAGTTATATTATTTCCAACAACTTCATAGTCATTTAGAATAGAGTTAGAAACAACGATTTTTCTGACACTTTCAACAAACGTGCCAGAGATTGATTTTAACTTAAGCGATTTGCTGTTTCTGTTATATTCAACCTGATTTTCACTTGACACGGACTCATCACGCGTCATGTCATAAAATTCGCATTCAATCTCCAAAGCGTAATTTTTTTGTTTTCCGCAATGATCAAATGCAGATATGTCATATTGTCCAAGATCAATTATAATAGGTCCTCTAGTACGTTCGAGTTTACAGAAGTTTTTTTCTAAAGCCGCTTGTTTTTTTATTGCATGAAACCTATACAGTATGGTCATTTCTTCTTTTGTCAGAATTTCAGACGGAGCAACAACGTTCACTAACTCTTGTATTGGTATAGTTGCAAATCGTATTTCGAACAATGCTTCATCAAGTTGATTTCGCATATTTTCCCCAGTTATAGGTATGCTGTTGGTCTCACAATTCTTTTCCGCCCATTTCATTGCTGCTTTAAATATATCCAATTCATCAGCAGCCATTTCTGCTTGTTTAAGCACATTGAGTAATGAAGCTTGTGGTAATTCTAGAAATCCTGGTGTAAACAGAACATTTGTTGCGTTTGCAATAATAAATGAAAGACATGTTTCTTCAAGATGCTTCAGTTTATAAGTGATGGCATCGTTATAACGCAGGCAGACGTTATTTGCATCAATTGTCTTTTCAAGGAAGTCCCAACATTTTTGTTCAAGACCATGTAAGTGGAACCCTTTTGCTGCATACAGACAGGATATAACAATATTACTGCTCAACTCTGTATTGTCTGTGTAGATAAATCTGAAAAATACATTAAAAGCTTAATTTGAAAACAGAAAATAGAACAGTGTTTTTGGGTTTTACTGACTTAATTAGCTTATTTAATATCATGTTAATATTATATTCTTAAATGCTATCATCAAGGTGATCAACTGTTAATGCTATATTTACCTCAAAACAACCTGCATTATTTCAGGCTTTACACCTATAAGAAGCACTGTAATTGGTCCATAAGAGCTGTTTAACTCGTCTGCAAAAACTTTACTGCGCATGCTCAGTACAACTTTATGAGCCGGAAAAATAGTGCTGGAATCGTTTTCGAAAATGAGGTCGATGTCGGAAAATTCTTTCGAGAGGTAAAGGTGTGACAGGCATTTTGCAGCTGTCTTGTCATCCCTCAAGGCTGTGTCTTGTGACCTGTAAGAAAGGACAGCCTTTTGTAATAAAATCAATGTTAGACTGAAAATTGACAGTAATGTTTCCTTCTATTTGTTCATATTTGAAACATAAATATAAATATAAACAAATGTTTTCAAATCATTGCGGCTAAATTAGGTTAAAATACAGTATGTGTCTAAGGCAATCCGAATCACATTTAATGTCTTTTTTATTCATCAATAAAAGCAAAATGATACGTTAGACAAAAGAATCAGTAAATATAAGTTTTAAAAAATCAGCACTTGGGTGTAAGGAAATATATGTTTTGAGTAATCAAGAACTACTTGAATGACAAGTTGTTTAGATAACCTTTGTTTTAAACGAAGGCTTTTATTTACTATTTTCAAATGACATTTTCTGTATTCTTTGTTAAATGTTTGTCTTACGTTTTGAAATTATCATTTTTTCAAGTTGATTTCTATTTTTTCTTCATCAGTGTTTAACTTCAAGACAACCTAGGTAAACAGCGTGATTAGTCTGCGATACTAAGAAAACGAATGACACCTGTTGCTATTACAGTGTCATATGAATGTTACAACCTAAAGCACTCCAACAATATTGCAAATAATAACGCTTTTCATAAAATGATTCCGATGTCATATACTGGCTGTAACATCAATATTGTAGGGCCTTATTTAGCCAACGTTTAATACGAGTAAAATAACGAGAAAAATAGCAATTGCTGAACGTTTTAAATACTCACTGATAGTTCTTGTTTTACATTTCAAAAAAATATAAATACTTAAAGAAAAACAAACCATTTTACCCATTATGAATGCTCTTTATCAACAAAATAAACGTTATGAAAATGTGAAAATTTAGTGGTTAAAACCCTTTAACTGTAAAGCAACCCGGTTTATTCTGTGTACCTTTCTTCGTTATTGTTTGAGAATGCCGTTGATGACCCATTGGCAATGCTTCCTTCAATCTTTATTGCTATTATATTGTTTAGTCTGCAATATAGAATTTCGATTTAAAACATTTCAAACATTCAGAAAAATGAATATACTACGAAAACTCGAAATTGTCAAACAATTATATTTGATATGCATTATTTGAAAATTTAGTGTCACCGTTCCTGGAACAAAATGATTAAACCATATCTACCAATACACCGCTTGCAATAAGCAAATCAGAAGAGAGACTTTAATTTAACATGATGACAAAATGGACTACAAAAAATTAAAAAGGATGCAAGGCGGTGGAATATATCTCGAATGTAAATTCTTTAAGTAATCAAAAACATTGCATTATCATTTCAATTTAGGAGACCCAATCAAGAAATTTGTCTGGAAAAATGTTTTATCTTATTATTCTTATGATACTTTATAACCTTCAAGGATGAGGCATTTTTTACTCCTGTTTGATACATAAAACTTTTAAAGAGGTGTGTTGGGGATTGCTAAATGCATAAAATAGAGACATAGTATTTATCCGCAAAAATTATATGTTTTCATTTACCTTTGTCTAGTTTAAAAAGAATATTTCAGGCAGGACCAATCATGATTAATATAACTTTCGTTGAAATCTACAAATTGATGCTACATGCCAAATATCTAAGATCTTTGTTTTGTATTTTCACACAATAAGACTTAAACGGTTTTCCTATAATCAAGTGACCCCGGGGCGGGTCAATTTGGCCCCAGAGGCATGATAAATAACATTTTTAAAGACGTTCACAACATTATGCTACATGTAAAATATACTTCTATAAATAAATTTTCGGACTCTCACAATGTTAAGGTCATCTAGCTATTTATAGCTTTCGAATTCATGTACAGCACTAAAATACATACATAACCCACTGTGTACTACAAAATAATAAGTAATTTCCTGTAGAAGATACACATGTAAGAAATAAATCACCGAATTTAAGTTTATTTTTTGTTTTGTCTTTTATACTGCTTTCCCAGCGGTTGAGGCGTGAAATTTGTTCCCGTTCTCATTCATTAATATGACATGCTGCGAATAACCGAAGGGGAAACCAAAATATGACTGTGGGCGAGGTTGTTACAACACTTAAGTGAAATTTGATATATGTATATCATTATGCTTATAAACAATTTTCAAACTTCGAAGATTATGTAAAATATGTACTGCAAATATTGTAATTATTAAAAATATATCCATTCATTTCTTATTGAAAAAAATTGACTAAGACTTTGTAGAAAATAAATTTCTAATTGCCTCCCTTTATTTGCATGAAATGTTAAATTCGGTAATATCTTTATAAAAAATACTTTTTGGAACTTACAATATTGATAAATCTTAACTTGAGAATTAAATTTATGATACAAATCTATACAAAATTTGTGTTACAGGATCTTTAATAACAAAGATTTCTGCCAAAACGTTTTGTTCAAGAGATACAGAACAAACACGAAAATTGGTAACAGACAGACGGACGACTAGTTGCATAACATAACACGCCGATTATATTTTCCGGCGCCAACGGGGCACTCTATCCACCAGTTTTTGACAGGTACCCTATGATATAGAATCGATATAATATCTTCATATAGAAAGCTCGAAACCAGTGTAAAGGCTTCTGCGGGGTAAATATTATTCGGAAAATTTCTCTTTAAAGAAAATACTAGCTATGTTGTTCAGGAAGGATCCATTTCACGAGAAAATCAAGTAACCCGACTGAACTTCAATTTATATCATTTTTGCAAATCGTTTACTTGATTTATAGTAAACTTTTAGAAATAGCAAATAATTATTTAAAAAATAAAAGATGCGACAAAACACAAATATTTCAAACATTACGAGAAATGATCTAACACAATATGCTTTTTACAACATGTCTGGAAGCTTAGTCTATAAACGTTCTCTTAATCAATGTATCAGTATAATTATCAAAACTTAATTCATGTTTTATACCCGTCGAAATCATCATTCAAAGGAATCGTCGATGACTGTTTCTCGTTGCTTCCACCCATCTTTATTATATTGTTGAACCGAACTGCAACAATAACAGTAATTGTTCATTGATCAAACAAACACTAAGGAATGTAGACTACAGATTCTTTTTTCAAAATGTGAATTCAATATGTCAATTTATAAATTGAAGTGACAATGAATGCAGTAATCATTCACATAGCATTATGATTCTTTGTACCTTAAAAATGCTTCAAAGCTGTGTGTAATTAAAAATGTTGTTTACATTCAAGTTAGAACCAAATATATTAAAGATAATGTACATCTTAAATGAAGAAAAAAATGGAATATATTCTTTTACTTAAGAAACATACACCGCTTTTCATGGAACGGCACGAACATGTCACAACAAGGTCTCTTGATGACCGCCCTATGAACACATGTGTGAATGTTTTTTAAATTCAAAATTTCACCAGTATATATCTAATTGGCAAATACTCCTTCACCCGGGAACAGGATGTGTGGAGAGTAGTTTCCAATAATAACTATTGTCCTTGGACAGGCTCAATCAAACCAAACCTGCAACATTTACAATTTTGTCGTTTGTGCGTTTTTTCATAGACACTTGAGTGTGGAGCTCAAAACGCCTTTATTATCTAAATAAAATGTATACACATGTTCTGATCATCGTATATGGACAACACGACTTATATTAATAATAATATTTAATATTAGTCGTTTTTTTAAAAAAAAAAACATATTTCAACGTCCACAATAATACACAAGATAAAAATATTCGCACACCTACCGTCAAAATCACCATGCATTTTATTCCATTTTCAATATTTTCATATACTCCTTTTGTCCATTTACAAAGAAGATACCATTCTCCACAATGCTGATCAATTTTAAACTTCAAAGCGACGCATTTGAATACGGCAAAGCTGGTGAGCAAATTTTGATTTTTTGTCGAAATATTTTGTGAATGGAATAAAACGGCACTAATCTTCATGTTTATTTCGCCCGTTGCGTTGTTTATATTGATGATGAAATTTAAAATTGACCACTATCGTGGAGAATATTTCTGTGTCGATGGACAAAAAGATTATGTGAAAATATTGGAAACGGAAATTAAATACATGGTAATTTTGACGGTAGGTGTGCAGATCATCTTGTGTATTATTATTATTATTATTATAAACGTTGAAATATGATTTTTTTAAACGGCTTATTTTTTTATATATATATGACCAGTACATGTGCTGGGATTGACAAATATACAGTTTATTTAGATTTTAAAGGCGATCCCAAGTGCGTATAATTATAGAAGTTGAAATATGAAATATTTTCAAAACGGCTTACATTGCTTTTTTATATATTTGATCAGAACATGTGCTGGGATTGACAAATATACATTTTATTTGATTTTTAAAGGCGTTTTGAACTACACAACCCACGTGTCTGTGTATTCTTTACATATTCTGCTTTTCTTTTTTTGTAAATATATTAAGATATCGTCATCGCAATGAGTTTACATTCGAAAATCTGGTTTATCTTCTTTGTATTGATTCTTGTTTATTCAATTCTGTCAAAAATCGATCGATTAAAAAAAGATCATCCATACCTATAGTGTTTTACATAAGTATGGAATTTGTTTCAATCTATCTTTATTGCGATTATTGACAGAATTTCAAGCTCCTGTGTTTATTGTTGTCCATCGTTGACCATACACGTTTTGTTTTATAACATTAAAGTGATTGCCTGAATAGACGAATAGAAATGAGCTATATCAGATAACATCGCTGGAATGTAATGCAAGTTTTGACATACATCGAAACATTATAAACAATAAGTTTTTTACTTGGCCAAGGTAAATCTGCCTTTACTTGCGGCAAAATATTTCGGATTTTCGTATGTTTAATGGTGTAATAATGACAGTTATTACATAGGCATATTCAAAGTTGTGTTTGCAAACAGTTATACAGGGCTATCAGTAGGGTTAGTCCATCAAACTGTACTACAGGTCGATGTATTGTGCTTTTTTATGTGTACCTCTATGACGTATTAGCGATATTCCGGCCCAGACCAAAAAGTATCCCAGATTCTAGGTTTGGGTGTTGAAATATTTTTACTGTTAGAAGGTTCTGAATCACATGAGCGAATTACTCTTAGAACAAAGTTTTTCATGTGTTAAATCAAGTTTTTCATGGATGCATGTATCCCAAAGGTCATCAGTCTTTGTTAAGTTTTTTGATATAACGTATTGTGTTTACTATTGAAAACAAAAGATTACCCTTTCTGATACACAAGAAATTTACAAGTGATATGAATTAAGATACAATACATATATGTAACGTTAAAGAGATATTTGGCATATTTCTAAGTCATTCCGATATATAACCCTTTTTGTCCATTAATCTTCAAGTACCTTTATAGAAAAAATTCTAGGAAAAGAACACTTGAAAAAAAATCAACAAAAAAAGAAAAGAAAAAAAAAACACAAAACAAAAACTAAAAAACCAAAAGAAAAAACCCCCCAAAAAACAACAACAAAAAACAAAAACAAACAAAAACAAACAAAAACGAACAGAAGGGAAGGGTTCTGACCAATGAGATGTCTGCGTGCAAGAGCATGTGTATCTCGCTTACATGTCTAACTTCAGATCTTCTTGGGATTTCTTGTAACATTATTTTTCTTTCGTTACTTTGGGAGTAATCAATTTTTTTTTAAAACGAAAGTGTCTTTTTTTGCCTATTTTTCCAGATAAAGACAGAGTGAGATGAAATATTTTCTCATATGAAACACAATATAATTTCAAGATTATCACCACAATTAAAAATTTAGAAATTGATAATCAAATTTTAAAAAGAGAGAAAAAAATAAATACCTGACAAGTATGTGTAGGGTATTTCCTATGCATGCTATATCGAGTGTATACGTAACACTTGAATACGCAACTTGGCTACAATACTGTATAGATTTACATTAATATTGGCATTCTACCAAAATTATTACGTGTAGCAAATTAATCGCACAGTGATCTTTTATTATGCTATGTTGGCCAACCTTTAAGGTTATTTGATATTTTTATTGCAAATTTTAAATATTATCCCAATGTTGAAACGTATATGTAAAAAATTAAAGTTTTGTTCTAAATAAATGTGTCACCCACCATTTCTGAAAGTCATTAAGTAATACAGATATATTTTAACAGTTTGTTTTGTTTATCGTTAGTCACGTTCAAAAATATAAACAAGAAATATCTTTAAAATAATTACTTGTTCGCGGTAAACCTGCTTTTACTTGAAAAAACAAACAAAAACAAACAACAAACAAAAAAAAATTCGAATGTTTTTGTATTTAAGAAGAAATGTTGCAGTGCCTGTTTAAGGATATACTATTGACAGTTATACAGCGATCTCAGTAGGGTTAATGTAACAAACTGTACAGAGTTGATGGGCTATCTTATGTTTGGGCAATATCTCACATCCACGGCGTAAAAGCGATATTCCAACCAGACCCCCCATTATCTATCCCTTGATGACTATCAGAGGGTACTGAATTACAGAGTCAATCACTCTTTGACCAAAGTTTACAAGAATCTCATCAGTTTCTTCTTCTTCATGGATGCATGTATCTCAAAGTTATCTCTTTTTGTAATTTTTTTACGATTTTTTTTTTTACTTTTGAAAGTGATAATTGATTGGTAAAAATGATCACTGTAAATTGTCCTGTCTTATATGCAAGGAATTTACAAGTAATATGAATTCAAGTACAATACAACTATGTAATAACATTAAAGAGATATTCGTCATATTTCTAAATCATATCTGTGGATAATCGTTTTTCGTGGATTAACATACAAGTATTTTTAGAGAAAAATAGTCATTTCAACATTCACTAGGGAAAGAACACTTGAAATATAAAAAAAACAAACTTTTTTGTAGTTTACATAATTTCTGAATCAGTATTTAACGGCTAAGAAAATTTATATTTAAAACAATGTCGGGAGCTTTACATTCATACATAATTAAGAAACACAACTTCACTATACATCCACCTATTTCACTTATATTTTGCTTAATTGCTAACGAAATTCACTGATTTTAAAATTACCAATTTTACTTATCTTCATTTCTTCCGTGTACTTTCACGGGAAGTCATGCTGACTTTAAACGGCTTTACCCAAAAAAGTAGATATAAAACAGTTTATATCTACATACAAATACACAAAATGAAAAGAAGAGAAAGAAAGAAACAAAACAAAACACAAGAAAACACAACAAAACAAACCAAAATAGAGGGAAGGGTTCTGACCAATGAGATGGCTGTGTACAAGAGCCTGCGTATCTCGCTTTCATGTCTACTCTCGTACTTGAATTTGACGTTTTTATTTTAAAAACGTTGATAACTGTTCGTTATACGAGGGCTGCCCGGAAAGTTCGTAGACAAGGCTATAAAATTATTATAAGCAGTCACATCAGTATGATGATTGAAAAGCTTGCTAAAGTATTTATCTGCTACAAATTTCTAAATTAAAAAACATGATAAAAGTAATATACGCAAAGCAACAACCACCATGGCAACATAATCAACGAATTACGGAGCACTTTGATTTCACGATGACAGCTACACAAATAATAAGTTGCTAAAAGTTGTAATTTTAACGCAAACTGTCGTTTGAATTTTGTGACATCAAAGGATACTATTGCATGATATTTAGTGAAAATAATGACGTCATACGCAAATAAACAGCTTGGTAAAAACAGTGATAGACAATGAAGGTGTGTAAATTTTGTGTTGCAAAAATGGCGTCAAATTCAAGGACGGAGCAACGTAATGTTATTTAACTTCATAGCAACGCTAATATGGCACCGACTGATATTTTAATCTTTACTTTAAAAACAAATTCAACAATAAATTGTTAAAGGTAACTTGTGTTTTAATGTCAAACAAGATTAAAAAAACGGTGATGACAGTATATCGTATAAGAAATCCTCCAGACGACAAAAGTAGCATAGCCGAAATATCGTAGATTGCGTTACAACAGTCCTTGAAAAAGACAGACATCTCACACACTGTATGGGAACCAGTGACATCTTTGTTTTAGGATAAATTGTAGTATATGAAAATCATAAAGTAACGGCAAAGAAATAGAACATGTATTAAGTATACGCCAGACAGGTACTATTGCTGTTGGAATCGGAAGAAATTGAATAGTTGGTAAACGTGAAGTTAATTTGACGCCGTTGACGTTGTCAAAGTGCTCCATGACGATGTATATATGTTGTATGTAAGTACTTGCAAACAATTATTTCGAATATTTGCATTCATGAAGATATGTTAGCAATGCCTGTTTGAAGATGTAAAAATGACAGTTAAGCAGGGAAGTATCTAGGGTTAGTCAAACAAACTGTACTAAGAGTAGAAGAGTTATATTGTGTGGCAATATATCTCCTCTCCGTTGTTAACCGAAACAACCCTCCCCCGAATCTAGTTTTGGGTTCTTAATTACACGAGTCAAGTAAAAAAAGGTCATCCATACCTATAGTGTTTTACATAAGTATGGAATTTGTTTCAATCTATCTTTATTGCGATTATTGACAGAATTTCAAGCTCCTGTGTTTATTGTTGTCCATCGTTGACCATACACGTTTTGTTTTATAACATATACTTGATTTATTAAAGTGATTGCCTGAATAGACGAATAGAAATGAGCTATATCAGATAACATCGCTGGAATGTAATGCAAGTTTTGACATACATCGAAACATTATAAACAATAAGTTTTTTCAAAGATACTTGGCCAAGGTAAATCTGCCTTTACTTGCGGCAAAATATTTCGGATTTTCGTATGTTTAATGATGTAATAATGACAGTAATTACATAGGCATATTCAAAGTTGTGTTTGCAAACAGTTATACAGGGCTATCAGTAGGGTTAGTCCATCAAACTGTACTACAGGTCGATGTATTGTGCTTTTTTATGTATACCTCTATGACGTATTAGCGATATTCCGGCCCAGACCAAAAAGTATCCCAGATTCTAGGTTTGGGTGTTGAAATATTTTTACTGTTAGAAGGTTCTGAATCATTGAGCGAATTACTCTTAGAACAAAGTTTTTCATGTGTTAAATCAGTTTTTCATGGATGCATGTATCCCAAAGGTCATTAGTTTTTGTTAAGTTTTTTGATATAACGTATTGTGTTTACTTTTGAAAACAAAATATTACCCTTTCTGATACACAAGAAATTTACAAGTGATATGAATTAAGATACAATACATATATGTAACGTTAAAGAGATATTTGGCATATTTCTAAGTCATTCCGATATATAACCCTTTTTGTCCATTAATCTTCAAGTACCTTTATAGAAAAAATTCTAGGAAAAGAACACTTGAAAAAAAATCAACAAAAAAAGAAAAGAAAAAAAAAAACACAAAACAAAAACTAAAAAACCAAAAGAAAAAAACCCCCAAAAAACAACAACAAAAAACAAAAACAAACAAAAACAAACAAAAACGAACAGAAGGGAAGGGTTCTGACCAATGAGATGTCTGCGTGCAAGAGCATGTGTATCTCGCTTACATGTCTAACTTCAGATCTTCTTGGGATTTCTTGTAACATTATTTTTCTTTCGTTACTTTGGGAGTAATCAATTTTTTTTTAAAACGAAAGTGTCTTTTTTTGCCTATTTTTCCAGATAAAGACAGAGTGAGATGAAATATTTTCTCATATGAAACACAATATAATTTCAAGATTATCACCACAATTAAAAATTTAGAAATTGATAATCAAATTTTAAAAAGAGAGAAAAAAATAAATACCTGACAAGTATGTGTAGGGTATTTCCTATGCATGCTATATCGAGTGTATACGTAACACTTGAATACGCAACTTGGCTACAATACTGTATAGATTTACATTAATATTGGCATTCTACCAAAATTATTACGTGTAGCAAATTAATCGCACAGTGATCTTTTATTATGCTATGTTGGCCAACCTTTAAGGTTATTTGATATTTTTATTGTAAATTTTAAATATTATCCCAATGTTGAAACGTATATGTAAAAAATTAAAGTTTTGTTCTAAATAAATGTGTCACCCACCATTTCTGAAAGTCATTAAGTAATACAGATATATTTTAACAGTTTGTTTTGTTTATCGTTAGTCACGTTCAAAAATATAAACAAGAAATATCTTTAAAATAATTACTTGTTCGCGGTAAACCTGCTTTTACTTGAAAAAACAAACAAAAACAAACAACAAACAAAAAAAATTCGAATGTTTTTGTATTTAAGAAGAAATGTTGCAGTGCCTGTTTAAGGATATACTATTGACAGTTATACAGCGATCTCAGTAGGGTTAATGTAACAAACTGTACAGAGTTGATGGGCTATCTTATGTTTGGGCAATATCTCACATCCACGGCGTAAAAGCGATATTCCAACCAGACCCCCCATTATCTATCCCTTGATGACTATCAGAGGGTACTGAATTACAGAGTCAATCACTCTTTGACCAAAGTTTACAAGAGTCTCATCAGTTTCTTCTTCTTCATGGATGCATGTATCTCAAAGTCATCTGTTTTTGTAATTTTTTTACGATTTTTTTTTACTTTTGAAAGTGATAATTGATTGGTAAAAATGATCACTGTAAATTGTCCTGTCTTATATGCAAGGAATTTACAAGTAATATGAATTCAAGTACAATACAACTATGTAACATTAAAGAGATATTCGTCATATTTCTAAATCATATCTGTGGATAATCGTTTTTCGTGGATTAACATACAAGTATTTTTAGAGAAAAATAGTCATTTCAACATTCACTAGGGAAAGAACACTTGAAATATAAAAAAAAAACTTTTTTGTAGTTTACATAATTTCTGAATCAGTATTTAACGGCTAAGAAAATTTATATTTAAAACAATGTCGGGAGCTTTA